GACACTTGGAAAATTCCTGCAGCAAAAGACGAGATATAAAAGTCTTCATAATTATCATCATAATCATTATTTTCTTTTACTACAATCATTATAATTAATACCATTATCATTGCCACTGTCATTATTACTATCATTTTATCATTACTATTATAACTACTCACTTTTATCATTATTGTTAAAATTATCATCTATTATCATTATCATTAATATTATCATTATCTTCATCTATTATCGTTATCATTGCTATTATTATCATCATTACTATTGTTATTATTATTACTACTATTATCATTATTACTACTATTTTTACTGCTACTACTATTATCATGATCATTATGGTCATTGTTATTTGCTTTACCATTACCATCGTTACGAACATCATTTATGATCATCGTTATCATCATTATTATCATTACATCCATCATTATCTCTATGTTCACTGTAAATATTGCCCTCATAAGCCTCTACCCATTATCACCGCACAATTACCACCCCTTTAACTGCCCCCACTACCATTTCGGGTAATGACCCCTTCTTCTCGGATCCTGCAGGGCCTCAAAGGTCCTAAGATTGCTCTACCTGATCTTGCGTCCCAGAGCCTGACGTCCGTCTGCCAGTACCGTTGCTTGCAGGTTTCTGGGGTGAGGTAGCCAGTGCACGGGGTCTTGCTGAGTACTTGGCACGTCGGTGGCGTCGTGTCGGCAAGGAAGGCCTGCAAGGAGACCGATTGTTTTCCTATCATTACTTTATTGTAATTGGTATCATTATTATCTTTATTGTTATCATCATCATTATCGTTATCATCGTTATCATTTTCATCATCATCATCATCATCATCGTTGTTATCATTATCATCATCATCACCGTTATAATTACTATTATTATTATTATTGTTATTATTATCATTATGATTGTTATTATTACTATCATTATCATTATTATTATTAGTATTAATATTGCCATTACTTTTAGTATAATTATTAATATCATTATCATTATCATTATTATTATCACTATCATTATTATTATCATTATCATTATTATTATCATTACTACCATTATTATTATTATCACTACTATCATTATCATTATCATTACTATCATTATTATTATCATTATCCATATTGCAACTATCATTATCGTTCCCATACAGTGGTGTTCATTTTCGATGTTTTCATGTCAGTTAGAAAGAGTGGAAGAAAGAGAGAAAGGAAGCCAGAAAGACAAGCTGTGAGGTGAATAAGATACAAACAGAGAGACAGCGGAGTTGCGAGAGGCCGAGTTAACTAAAACCAACGTTACACTTACTGGTACATACCTTCGGGACAACAGAGAGATGTGCCTGAATATGGGAAGTGTCGCCCCGGTTGGAGATGGCTGTGACGATCAGGGTGTTGGTCGTGTACGGAAGAGCTGAGGAAGCCATGACCATTGTCACTGTCAGAACCACGGACTCGTCCCTTCCCAGTGTCACTCTGAAATAGGCGTTGAATGAAAATCCGTTGAAAAATAATGTTTGGTGCCACTATGATATGTAATGAATTCACACACACACACATACATATATATGTAAGCATATATCAATACTTTGGCAAATATAAAAACTGACATTATAATCCACTTTACCTCTTTTGGTCAAGAGACACTGTGGAGCCTAAAGCATCATAAGCACTGATAAAGTAGGTGCTCTGTGCGATATTATCAGCATTCGTGTTCGTAATGACGACAGGTATCTTGAGGTTATCCCCGGGGGATCCCCAGACTTCTCGCCCCAAGGGAAAGCCCAACAAGGAATCCACTAGGTCCCACTGCGCCCCACTCTCGCGTCGGAAGGGACGTCCTGTTTACAAATATGAAATTCAGGTTTTCATGATATGCATATTAACATAACAAGTATTAAAGGCATGAATGGAAATAATTTGAATATTACCATAGGTATAAAATCTTCAAGAACTCTGCAAATGTACCTGCATGGGGATCAATCGAATTCTAATTTACAGACTTTATTTGTATATCCGCTCATTAAGTACTAATCAACTTTACCCGGATGGAAACAATTCGCATGATACTCTGAGTGCCTTATGTATATATGAATTTTCCAAGCACTAACCACTGCCGTCGACGCCCATGACAACCACCGTAAACCTTCCAGCTTGAAGATTTCGGGAAGGAAACTTCAGATACGTGTTCCTCCTGGGGCTCTTGATGGGGAAGTCAAGGTTGAGGAGCTCCCTTCCCGTTGAGTCCTTTAGGTACGCTCTGTCCACACGACGGAGGTTTGAGGTGTCGACGCCGGTAATAACGACGTCCAGATAGGTATCAGAACCTGAGAAGAAAGGTCCTAAAGGGTTACACAGCAGATACTGAGTGAAAACGATACTAGGACAGGGAAATACAAAGAGGGTGGTGTGATAATGACTTTTCCCTTCATTAAAGTTGATGGGAACAAAACATGCATTTATCTGCCGTGGATGAGTGAATCATTGGGGAAGAGGAGGATGAATAGGCAGATACGTAGAGATGCTAATACACTGATAAACAAGATAGAAAGACAAGTTAGGTAGAGAAATATAAGTTAGAAAGTACTGCAATCAAGGGATAGACTGGAAGTAGACTGGTATTCACGAGAAGTAGAAGTACTGGAAAACGCACACATACGCAGACATACTTCTACTTGGCTGACCAGCTACCCTTTGCAAAGAAGGGTGACTGCCAAAGGTGTCAGGAGTATAGAAGGTGGGCATGATGTCCATGGGCGTGCGGCCTGAAATAACAACCGATGACTCATCTGAAGGGTTAAACTGCAGGGTCCATTCTCCCACGTCGTTTGGACGCTGAGTCATGTCAACACGGACCTGGAAATGTTTTAGTGATTATTAAAGTTTTAAATAAAAACGAAAAAAGGAAAAAGAAAACAATGTCAATTTGTAATTGTATTTTGAATGACTATCTCTTTTTAAGAACTATATATCAAAAGAATATTTCCATAGGAATATACATTTATAATCGCACGTTCAGATAATTGCTATTATCGTTTTATAGACTTTTATCATTACCCGTGCGAGGTATGGAGTAAAAGCCACCACGGCATAGCCTTGGCCAGCGTTGTTATTTCGTGCAAGTAGGTCAAATCTTGAACCTGAGGAAACGGGAATGGTTAAGGTTCTCCAAAACAGAGGAAAAATTAAAGGAAGCAGTAGTGGTAGCAGTAGTAGTAGAACTGGGGGAAGAAGAAAATAGGATAATATAAGGCGTAGGGAGATTTGTGTTATTACAGTATAACGAAAGAAAGAAAAAAAAACACTAGAACTAGTAAAACCTTCGTCGCAAATTATCATACTAATTACAACAATGAAATAAACGATAGTACGAATCAATGACCATATCAAAACTTCCTTACCAGAAGGTGACGTGAGGACTGCTGAAGAAAGGCGGCCGGTTACAGACACCTCGAAGCTACTGATTAGCGAATCGATGGGAACCTTGATTCGTTGTGGTGACGTCACGCCGATGTCCTTCCACAACACTGCCTGGAAGGATAAGCAGTTACATGAATTGAACATTCTGTTATCAGATGGCTGCGGCGACTGGGCTTAGCAAGATAGCTGATAGTGGTACATTGCCTTTGTTATTATTATTATTCTTACCACTGCTACATATTTTTTGTTGTTGTTGCTGCTATCATCCTTATCATTATCTTCACCATTAACATCGTCATTATCATTATCGTTATCATTGTCCTTATCATAACTCTTACCGTCTAAATGTTATCTTTATTATCATACTTCGCGATATTTTTATTAACTTCATTCTAAACCTCACATATCAAAATCATTATTAGTACGATACCTGAAGGTTCCCAAAAAAGTAGCTACCATTTTCCCTACTTTTTTTACTTAACAAGGAAAAACATATTTGCCAACAGATATTTTCCTACAAAATCTCTTCCCTAGTCACAATTTCTTTTATAATTTATCCTCCACAACTACTAATTTTCAAAATAAGAATGTTGATAACAAGAATGTGAGAAGATGAATAAGTTAACAAATAGATAAACAGGTCATCGCATAAACAAACAAACGAATAGATACCATACGGAGAGTAAAAAAGTATCCGGCTCACATCAACCCTTTTCCCACCTGCTTTGCGGCTCCTTCCACGATCCTGGCCGTCTCCTCCACGCGGTCGCCGGGGGACTCGACCACCTGGCTGCCGGTCCGCTCGGCCAGCTCCGCGTACTTCGAGAAGCTCCGCAGCTGCCGACGAGGGCGGGCCGTGCGGGCAGCGCGCTTGCTCCTGCTAGATTTCTATGATGTTGTTTCTGTTCCTTTTATCTTGATTATTGCCGTTAACGTTATCACACACACACATATATATATACATATATATATGTATATATACATACATATATATATATATATATATATATATATATATATATATATATATATATATATATATATATATATATATATATATGTATATATATATGAATATATATATGAATATATATATATATATATATATATATATATATATATATATATATATATATATATATATATATATATGTATGCATATATATATATATATATATATATATATATATATATATATATATATATATATATATATATATATATATATGTATATATACATACATATATATATATATATATATATATATATATATATATATATATATATATATATATATATATATATATATATGTATATATATATATATATATATATATATATATATATATATATATATATATATATGTATATATATATATATATATATACATATATATATATATATATATATATATATATATATATATATATATATATATATATATCCAATACTATTGTTTATACTATTGTTTTTGCTGGTGCTGTTTTTGTTGTTGTTCTGTTCTGCTGCCATAATTATTAGCGCGCTTATAACGTCCCTTAAAATGATTCTCAATGTTATAATCATTATAACCATATAA